TCATAACCTTGCCAGCCGACTTTTTCGCCTTTTCACGCTTGAGAACCGTCTCATCATGGGCAGACCACTAGAGTGACGGTCGACTGAACTCCGAGGTGGAATGATGGAGACATGTTTGTCACACATCGACGCAAATATTCGGTTTTATTACGATTAAAGAGCACTCAAACATTCGTCAGAATCAGCAATTTTAGGGCGTCTACTGTCTTCAATGTCCTCCTCATTTCGCCTCTTCCCAACTTAGGAAATATCTTTTCAACGGTTGATTTCCCTGGTCCAGAACCTAAACAGTATTTTTCCCCAAAAAGCAATGCTTTATTAACACACGAAATGCTTTATGATAAATTTTTTGTCAACTAACACAAGTTGCTTCATAAAAATGCTACATCTCATTAATAGAAAATCTATATGATTTCTATGAATACATAGTAGTATTATCTTAGTGTGGGCAACAGTAGAACTTAGCGAAATTAGGATAACACACCCACGTAACGGCATTAATCAGAAAGGTATAAATTGCAGTACCAAGAGGCACACGATCTACCGACGTTAGGAAAATAGGCGACATCGTAACATAACTTTCCATATAATGGTTTTGTTAAAAACTACAAAAAGAGAGATAATACGTTTTACATCCTGAGTGAACCAAAAAAAAAAATGTATATGTATCAAGTAAGAGAGCATGAATATTTTCAGACAAAACACAAACAGTTCCTTTCATATTTTAACTATGCTATCTCGAGTCTAAAAATTGTCAAAATCGGACCATAAATGTCTAAGCTCCGAGTACCATTGGAGAATGACTGACTTTTTACCCTAATATGGATCAAATCGAGCGAAAACTTGCCTTAGCTCCACGTAACTGATATTTACGATTTCGAAAAGTCCTATTGACTTTATTACATATATTTTTATATGTATAGTAATATGATAAAAAAATAGCAAGACTTTGTTCATAATTTTAAAATTCTTAATTTATTATTCAAAATCTATGTCATCTCCCTCAAAGTAAGCACGTCGTTTGAGTTTGGTAAATAGTCAGAAGTCACACAGAGCTAAATCACGCGGTTATAATTGTGGCATGATATTAGTTGAAAGTTTGGCGAAAAATTCACGAAAAATTAAGGCAGTATGCGATGTGCATTACCGTGGTGCAAAAACCAATAGTTGCCGCCTCATAATTACGACCTATTTTTTACGAATAGCTTCTCGCAATCGACGCATAACACTCAATATTCCTTGTTGACAGTTTGGTCGGACGGGAGGAATTCGTATTGCACCACACATTAATAATCGAAACTGTTACCATAATCTTGATTTTTGACCTGTGGTTTTTTCTTCTTCGGTACACCGTAAAAGAAAGCAAAACCCAAACTATGAACGACTGTATTGATTTTAACGCCGTGTTTAACTTCATAATTGTCTCGAAATGCCCCGGTCTTCATCAGGTTAGCACACTTCTTTTGGTTAATATTAACGAATCATTTTATACTGAATAAAACAAAAACTGGTTTTTCACATTTTCCCACATTATTTAATATTGTTTTTGGTTTTTGGAAACCATCAAAAATATTACTATTTAATGTTTTTGTTTTTTTGGAAAGTTATTTATATTTACCCGATTTTATATATTTTCGCTAATACCACATACTAATAAAATGTGCTTTGTGTTTAACAAAGTTTAACTTTGTGTTTAACTTAAAGTAACTCATGTACCATCACCAATCATATGCAGTAAAGGCAGTCGGTGTTTGAAAATCCTGATATGATGATGACACTTCTCTGACCTTTTCACAGGGTTTGTCCGGAAAGTAATAGAACTGATTTTCTTCCGCGACTGTATTTTGGAGCGTGCGCACAACGACTGGGTTCGGTTTATCTATCCAATAAACGAGCGGGTTTTCAGTTATCTCAGAGCACCTGGAGAGTCAGAACAAACATTCGAGCGACGTGTTTCTATGAGTGGTGCAAGCCGAAATGCAGCGTTCATTAGAGCAAAGGTACGCAATAAATTCTGTGTGAAACTCGGTTAATCTGCGATAGATGTTTGATATGATCAAGCAGGCTTACCCAGGTTTTGCTTTAGCAAGAAGTGGTGTGTTTCGGTGGCACTAGGCTTTTTTTCTTTGCGTCTTTGGATTTGCTCATTCATATCAAAAGTGAAAACCATGTTCATTGTCTTTTTTGAAATTGTGAAAGCGTCGTCCACCATGAATTTTTTCCTCTTGGACAAAGCATCAACGCCAAGTTTTACGTGGAATTCCAGAAGAGACTTGCACCACGACAACGCTCTGGTTAATACCGCCTTTCGTGTGAACAGCTACCTAATCAAGACAGGCATCCCAACGCTTTCGCAGCCGCCCTGCAGCCCAGATGTTCCTTGTTTTTTCCTCCCAAGCAGTAGGGACCGCGGCTCTCAAGGCTCTTCCGGAAAATACATTCCGTGATGACTTCAATACTTGGAAATCGCACTGCATCGACGCAGAAGGAGTCTATTTTGAATTGATTGATTCAATACATTTTTTTTATATCGACTCAGTAATATTACTTTCCGGACAGACCCTGTATGCAAAAAATCCAAATTATAAATACTACAGATTGTGGGAATAATAGGGAGTTACTGCAGAACTTTTTGTTTCTTTGTCCAAATCGGACTACAGTTAGGTCTACTTCCCATATAATAAAATTTTAAATTCAATAAGGGTATTTGCTTGCACCGGCACAACAACAAACACACGCAAATCTTGTATATTTCGGTGTAGTTCAATCTGCAATCTTGCAAGATCAAGCGAATACCCTAATATGATATTTTCTTAAAAAAACTTGGTACGAAAACGCAGTCAGATATGCTACCTTATGGCTAGAAATTGTACACATCCAACAATACTGTGGACACCAGTACCTATAATTGACCTTTTACCGAAAATTATTGAAATTCACAGAGGATCCTTTCCTGTCTGTGCGCTACAAATGGGTTGAATCGGTTAATACTTCCCTGAGATTATAATCTTTATATTAGATATACTATATAATAATTAATAATTCGATAATTATAGAACTTCCGGTTGACTTTATGCATTATTATGAAGAGAGCAGTTTTTACTATGTAGCATGTTAATAATATGTAGTATTGGCAAAAATAGATAAAATCTGTTCGATACTAAAGTAGATAGCTTATATAAGGTTTTATCAGCACCTGAATAAATTTTCCGGACTTCGATTCTTGCGAGTAGCAAAAGTACATAATGTTCGGTGAGCCCTACCTTACTCGTTAGTTAAGCTTTCGTGCATTATCTTTTATGTGTCTAATATTTTACATCGAGTAAACTAATTTTGCTTATACTTGGACAATCACTTTTTTTTCGAATAGTCCCGATATTTATGTACATATGGTACTTATATGAGTGGAAATATCTCTTTAAATTAAATATACGTGCCTTATTGGATTTCCAAACCACATTGGGTGAAATTTTATGGTGTGAAAACGATCAATATTAAAATTTAAACGTGCAATGGCTATTGTATAGTAAAGAAAGCACTCCTACTCTTGCGTCGTCGCCTCGCATCCCAGAAATGTGAGCAAAGCTTATACAAAATGTGGTGGCTAACCCATGTGGAGCCTGAGATCAGGGCTAAAAGTGAGGAAGCTGTAGAGGAGCCAATCCGTCATATTCGCTTTAAGGGACTATAACAGTGTGCGACCTCTCGGAGGTGCAAACAAATCAAACTTTAAACGCGGTTTTCTCGAAGCGACATTTTTCAAAATTGCTGGCGGCCTAACTCTTCTTTTGATTGGTTGAAAATTGTCATTTGGCATTAAAAAAACGGCTTTGTTTTTCAAAATTACACCATTTTGTTTATTTTTGATATTTTTCAAAGATGGTAGGTAATTGTATAGAAAATATCTTTAAGTGTAATAAGCTTTTAAATTTTTTTTGTTTCAGCTACTCATTTGGCCGGAAACATGCCAGCAGTTGGATCACTTTTTTTAGCACCTCCGAAGACAAAAAAAAAAAAGAATTTTAAATATAGCTGAAAATATACCTTATTACGTTCGAAGAAGGTCAAAATATTCAATCGCGTACTTTCTCTTAAAAAATTCACGAAAATCCCTTAATTTTTTTCATAGGTCACACTGGTATAGCCCCTTAAGGGTTTGCTGAAGTCTAAGTGCAGTCTCTGTTCACTAAAGGTGCGGCCGAAATCGGGCATTGGTTTTGACGAAAAAGGGATCCCTATATAAATGTGTAGCGAACTTTGTATTGCTCGCCTAGCGAGGTTGTGCGCCGAGTTTTTGCGGAAGATTTATATTTGCGCATTGGCAATGGCTATTACTGCAGTCGATGGAACGATGAGACGAAATATACGGCGACATTGACATAGTTCAGCAAATCAAGAAACAGCTCTGCGCCAACAGCTGCTAGGAGAAAGAGAACATTCCAGCTTTGAAGGTTTTCACCCGCCGGTGGAAGCAGAGAAAGAGGAAGTCCTTCATTCCGTTAGAAAAATCGGGTAGAAAAGTAGCAGGATAGAAGCAGGAAAGGTGAAGAATTCGGTTGTTGCATGTGCTATGTGGAATGTAGTCCTGTCTTGTTGGAACCAGATATTATCAAGATCAACTTTTTTCAACTGCAGCCATAAAACGCTGGTTATCATCGTAAAGAAAATGTACGCTTGCAATTTTCAACAATTCGTCGAATAGCGTGCACAGAAGGACGATTATTTGGGTAATAAAGTTGATAAATTTGTAAACGCTGTTCTTGATTATATGATGAAATTGTAAGCACTACTGAATATAATGAAAATAAAATTACAGATGATGAAATATTAAATATAGAATAAAATTCCGATTGAAGCCAACACTAATAAAACCAGGACAGGACAGGACTGAACAAATTTCTTAAAATTTTTAAACTTTACAACGTCGTTAATGTGATGGGACTTTACTTTATGAAATAAATTAAGATATACATCTTGTGTACATATGTACGAGTACATACCATCATTTATTGCTTGCTCTTGCGGACGGGGACTAACAGCTTTTCGAGTTTCCCAAGCCGCAGCATCCTCACGATTATTTATCAGCGGAGAGACAACCCCAGACAGGTTTTGTTGAGCTATCTGCTGCCTCTGCTTCTGTTGTCGTTGATGTAATTGTGACATAGAGATTAATTGTGATTTTGCGACATCTTGTAGAGGAGGTGACTGATATTGAGGCACTGAAGCAAACTGTAAAATTGAGAATGTTAGTCGGTATATTAGTTTATAATGAGAGCAAAGAAAACCACCTTTTGACCTTTAGTTTCTACCTTGATCGCGGAGGCTGCGTCACCATCCGATTTTGCCGTTGAGGTAGCTCCTGAGCACTTATTATTTATACCAAAGAGAGATGTAACGAGCATAATTTTTACCAAATTTGAATTGTTATTGAAAACTTACTTCCGGTCCTTCGTCACTACCATCTTCACATTGTGGTATACCATCACAGGCATTATAGACAGCAATACATTCACCGGAATGACAGGGGAACTGAAAACGTCCACAATGGGGTGGATACACTGCCAAAAATTAAAGGAAATTATTCGTATTCATTTATGTAACGTTATACATTTAGTATACGTACCATTTTGTGGAAAAGCTAAGCTCATTGGTGGTATTCGGTCTGCTCCTAGCATGGGTTCTGGTGCCGCTGTTGCCAATATATTCGTGTTTCCTCTAGAAGTGGCGGTGACAGGCGTTCCTACCATATATAATGTGGAAATATCTGTAGGCACCTTCCCGGATCCAACTGCTCCAGACGTCATTTTATCAAGCGTTTCAGGTTTTACTTTTAAACGTGTTAATTCCCACTCTTGTTGCGAAAAATTTTTGGTACCAGCCACTTCTGTTGCACTTGGGGCTTTTGTAGTTTTTTCATTCAAATTGTGTGCGACTGTCAGCACAGCACTGGTATAATTAGTATGGCGAGTGAATTTACAATGAAAATTCTCGGGTGGACCGCACTCGAATAGGTAACAATAACCGTCACTTTTATCTTCAAAGACATAAACGTCACAGGATTCCGTTTCGCAACAAAGACGTTGACATTCCTCAGTGGTGTCGAGCTCAAGCCCTTGTAAGTACTTGCCACCAAGTGTTTGTGATTCACCTGTGCGAATAATAGTGTTTTTGTGGATTTCATATTTGCCTTCAAGAAAAAGTAAGATTGTTGAATAACAATGGTCGTACCTGAGGAATTTATTATATAATTTGAAAAATAACACATTAATAAAACTGTTTGATTTGAAGTTTTATTCGTGTAGACTTTTTCTTTGTACATACATTTATGTTGGCCAGCCAAACGTTGTGTGTAGAAACATTTGCAAGTATAAGTATCATACAAATATGAAAATTAGTTTAGATATATCTGTCTATAAGCCCTATTGATACGCTCAGTTACTCACGTAAATGCAACAAATACAATAAGAAACAAGTAGTAAAGAGGTAAGTTCGAAGAAATACGTATAAATCATTATTTTAACGTGCTTATATTACAGTGCAAAAATGGCCGAAATCGGACTACAACCCCTCTACCTTACCATATAATAAAATTTTAAATTCCATTTGATTTCTTCATTTTCTAGTGTATAAATCAAGATGCAATTAATATAACGATACAAAATTTTGCACGAATAATTTTCATAAATTGTTCAAGCCTTTAGGTACCGAATGTGTTGAATCCAGTAATTGACTTTTGACCGAAAATATTAGTGAATGTGAGAGACATATTTAAATACAGAGAGTTCCGGGTGACCGCTTACCGCATATGAGTTATCTTTTTGAAAATGAGAGAGCGTGTTTTACTCATAACGGTGTATGTTTGTGACAAAAATGCATTAAATTGAACACAAAATATAACTAATATCAGGATTTTCGAACATCCGGTTGACTTTACTCCATATGATTGGAAATTGTATGTGAGGTACTTTAATGAAACCCTCGGAACATTTTATAGTATGTGGCATAATAATATTTAGTATCGGCAAAAATAGATAAAAATGAGTCAATACTATTCCCAACTCTCAAATACTATTAGGCCTACAACTTTGCTTCCGCCGTTTTCCAATAGACGTCTCTAGGGTGAAGCACTGGTCCATTAAATTGTTTTATATCGATCTTGGACATTTGTGTCAACATTAACCCAACAAAATATTTGTACAGATCTGTTTGCATCTCAAACTTATTCTTAACTGAAAATGTCAATTTTTGAGCCGAATTCTCTTCTTCTTTTTTAATTCCAAGAAAAGTGCGGCTGAGGAACCGTCCACGCTTTACTGAGGCTGATATAGAATTTTTGTAAAGCAATTTGTGTTAGTTTACAAAGAAATGGATCATAAAGCATTTCGTGTGTTAATTAAGCATTGCCAGTGTATTATTTATATTATTAACTAGAGAACCCGTCCATGTTTCACTGTGGCTGATGCATAGACAATACTACTACCACCATTTATATGATTTTTTATTAGTTGGATTATAACTATTAGTTAATGAGATATAGCATTTTTGTGAAGCAACTTGTGTTGTTTACAAAAAAATGGATCGTAAAGCATTTCGAAAATACATTAGAATCAGGGAACCCCACTGATGAAAAAGTATTTGCTAAGCTGGAAACAGGCGAAATCAGCACTAGGGTGTCTCGATTTCGGACTTTTTCGATTCGGGATTTCTAATACTGCGGAAAAGTTGCCTTAGTACTTCCTGATTCCAATGCARCTTTTTGTTTTGAGATCGGATTGCATCTTCAACCCCAACTCCGGCCTTGAAATTTCGGAAATTCGCCTAAAATCGTGAAATTGTCTACCTAGCGCCTGAAATACGCATCTCATGGCAAAATGTATAAAACAAAAGTTATTTGTCACGTCATTTGCTACCGAAATTGTATATAATCATGGCCGTAGGACGAACCGTTCCCGAGATACGAGCGAAAATGCGGCGCGCCACAGCGCAAGGTGAAAATTGTTGCAGCTCTCAGCTAACCTGTATTGGTCACCCAGAACCCACCGCTTGGAGGTGGCTGCTCTTCGGGTTCCTCCCAAGCCCAACCCAACCAACCAACCATATGTCAGGCTTGTCTTAGTCTGAATTTATTGATAAAAATAGATTTTGTACTAAACTTTGGCACTTGTTGCCTAGATTTCAGTGTAGAGCGTATAAAACGATCAGGAGATTGGGAGCCAATAACTTTAGAAGATGCCTCTGTCACCAGTTTGACGGTTCTCTCGACTGCCACGGTGTGAGAGGGGAATTCACTAAATTTCCATACCTCTGCAGTGTCACCCGACAGCCCTTTTATGAGTTCTTCGTTAGAAACTGAACTGGTGGAACAGTCAAGGTAATCATATCGTAATAATTATTAGCTTTGAAATTCAGCTTTGGCACTTTATTACATCTAACCCTTCTATTTACAGTGTCAGACTCTGCTTCTCTGGCTGCCAGAAGACGGTCAAGGGTCAACTTTCTGACTTCTATCCRTYCGTCAGTCATCATACTAAGGAGAATGTTTTCTGGAAGAGCAAAGAAAGCATTCTGTTGAATGGATGAATCGACAACCTTGCGCAGTTTAGCAGGTAAGTATCTCGACCTTTGAATTGCAGCAGTAGAGATGGCGCGAGCCAACTTTGATTGAACTGTTGAATCTTATTGAGAACCACAAAGGTGAGTAAACTGTACGTATGTACTTGACCAGAATCTTTATTTACTTTGTTGGTTTGTCAGTAGAAATGTATAATCTCAGAATTCTATTTGCACAGGTGAACCAGCGAGATTTGCACATGTTACCTGGATGCGTCGACGCTAAATCATCATCAGCATCGTTTTTGGAAGAATCCATGTGCGACGCACCTACATTGTTGTCGTCTGTATGAGAGTCTGGCTGATCTGAATGGTCACGTGTTCTAGCTGATACTTTTCTGGTAAGTGTTGATGTTGCATGACATTTTGAAAGCTTTTCTTTACGTTCATTTTTCTTTGTAATCTTTTTTGTTTCAGGTAGATCAACACTTCCAATGCGACCAATTCTTCTGGTTCTCTGGTCCAAGAGAAATGGTTGTTCATTGATAGGAACTTTCCTTTCCTTTGGACAAGTGCAAGGAGAAAAATAAATGCATTTACAAGCAGTGATGTCAAATCATTTTCCGGCAGAAGAGACGAAGTCGTCTCTTTTAGAGCTCAAACCTATTGGGTTCCTTAAAAACATTTGTTTAAGAGTCAAAAATTTCTTATAGTATGTGGTGAGCATTTGTACAACTCTGGTGTGTGAAACYATCGGAATAGATGACTTTTTGAAAGTATTTTCAACCTTTTTTGCAACTATTTCTGTAACCTCTTTACTCCTAGGTTYATAGTTGTCGCCTCGGAGTCGCCCTATACGATATCTTTCAAACTGATAACATAAAAGAACATCCTGGTAAGTAGGTAACTGGGACTCAGAGAGATTGTACTGTAATTAGCACTGATTACAATGATGCTCTAAAAAGGCGAAAGCTCTATGCAAAGTGGGGGTCTCGCAAGTTCGTAATCCAACAAAACAACGAATAACTGATTCTGAGAAGTGCTTGAGTGCTCTTTAATCGTAATAAAACCAAATATTTGCGTCTGTATGTGCCAATAGAAAAATAGCTCCATCATTTCTCACTGGAGTCCAATAGACAGTCATTCTAGTTTACTGCACATGGTGAACCGGTTTTCAGGCGTGGAAAGACGAAAATATCGGCTGAATTAGCCAGTTATAATCTATTTCTCTGCGTATTTGGTTGCAGTTCTTTGTACTATTTCAAATACTTAGCAATTGTATTACTTTTGAGGAAGAATCTGTCTAAAATTGTACGCATATATTCAAAGGATTCCTACAAACATGAAATTCTCAGCCAAATCCGTTCAGCCGTTCTTGAGTTATAAATGGTGTAACTAACGCGACTTCTTGTATATATTTAGATATATAAAATTGCTTCAAAATATATTATCGAATATACCTGAGCAATATACAGATCAATCTAATTAGCATTTTCTTTGTGCCAAAAAAAAGAAAGATTATAAAATATTCGGTCACAACTAAACCTTAGCTTTTACTTATTTTTATTACTAGAAATACATTTGTTCAACACTGTACAGTTAGTTCAGTAAATAGGGAATCGGCCGGACACATACACAACCATATGGTATGTAAATGTAAACTTCAGTAAAAGTTATCATAAAAAGTAATTAAGAGCTGAAAACATAATTAGTTAAAAAGTCAAAAAAACTAGAATAATATGAAGTGTTATGGTAGTTACACCAACATAATTAGCAAAGTTAGTTAATTTTAAAAAATAACAAAAGAAGAAAAAAGCAACTCTCTTTGTACATTTGGAGCTCATCCATGCTCTTGGAACCAACTAGTTAATCCGAAAATCTTTTCTTTTAAAATAATAAGGAAATATCGATCTTAAATTTGCAATAATTAAGTGTATAAAACTGATTCACATATCAACAGTAGATATGCTGTTATTGTTATAGGAATCCACACTAAAAATCTGCAACACTTGCTGGAGCTCGCATGCATTTATTTTTAAATTGTGATGTCCGATAAGCCAAAACAATGACAGACGGATTAAATAGCATTCAGTGAGCAATCTAAATGATTGTCTGGTCAAGTAATATAGAAATATCATACATATTACAGAAACGATCATAAGCAGTCGCATCAAATATGAAATGAACGATAAATCGGAGTGAATAAACTACCCACAGTCCAAACGCGTAAAGAACCACTCAGCCTTAATTTAAAATCAAGCAATGGAATACTATGATTAAAATTAGCGTCACTCCACTAAAACACTTCATGTAGTATGTGCATATGTATGTTTGTTTTTGTTATTTTATTTACCCAAGCATTGTTCCAAATCCATTCGTTTTTTCAATTGATGCGTATCGACGTCTGCTGTTGCTGTTTTTACGGTGAATGGACTGCCAAATACACCTGTTGCCTGTGTGGCAGCCCAACTTGCATAACTATTTCCGACTTTAGAGTCGGTAACTTTGGAACTGCAACTAATGTGTGGCACATTCTCAGTCAAAATTAGGAGCAATATAGCGATTTCGGCAGTTTGTCGCAGAAGACGTGTTTCGGGACCGACCGCGACGCCCATTAAAAAGCGATTACGAAACATGAAATGCACAGAAATAATATACGGTTGAAATATCCAGCTGAAGGGTACAATTGGATATATCCTTTGTTTTTAGCGTGTAAACAATTATCTGTATATTTGGTTAAGATTCTTCGGTTGGCATGCGTTTTATTACATTAAATTGGTAGCTGCGTTCATAGTCATCTGTATATGATGTAGCAAGTCCCAATTCTTAAATGCGCATTAATATGATATTGTTTTTTTTATTAATCCCATTTAATATCAATTGTTTAATTTATTTTTGTATCAGTTATTTTTTTGATATTTATATTATTGTTGGTACTCTTGTCTGTTATGGGAAAATATTGATTTTTCCACACACTGCTTCGTTAGGACTATATATTTTTTCAATGAAATGCTTTTGCAACGTTAACTCATTAAATAACCGTAGATATACATATATACACCAACTTAATTTGCATCGATAAAGTATTTTTTCCTAAAAAAATCGTTATTAATAATGACTTATGTGCTATCCACTATTTTGTTACTTGACTCTTTTACTCTCAGCACTTTATGGCCACAACCAGAGTTTTATTTTAACGCCATGAAGTATTCCAATGGAAGTGATATTCCAATAAAAGCTTATGTAGAAGTAAATACGTCTGGAATAAAAATATTTGAAATTTTGTATCCGTAGGTTACTTAATTAGTGTAAAAAGAATATTAATTATAAAGGTTATTTTTATAAATTTGAAAGACTACATCCTGGATGTAGAAGAAGAATAACGGCGAGAACATACATAGATAAGTTCCTTTCGTTTCAATTATATCTTCGTTAATAAAGAAGGGCTCATAAACTTTGAAGAATAAAAAACGTTACACTGCATTCATTGCATCTACTATTATAGCACAACTATTTTTATGCCCTGAACAGGGTGTATTTAGTTCGTGGCAAACTAAATATGTGTATCATCCAGAAGTAAATGTTGGATACCCTATTGAATATACATGTACGTATGTATACTGAATTGATTTAGTCATGTTCGTCTGTATATATGCGAACTAGTTTCTAAGTTTTTACGTAATTTTCTCCTCAAAAAGCTGAACAATTAGAATCACCGATATCGGACCCCTAAAGCATTTACATAGCTGTCATACAAACTGACCGAATAAGTTATGTATTGTCTAAAAACTTTTTTTATTTGTGAAGGATATCATAACAACGAAGCACTCGAAGTTAGCGTTTTTGTCTTGTTTATATATAACATTAAATGTTTCGGGAAATGACACACTGTACTTTTATACTTTACTTTTACTTTAGATGGGAAAATCTGGTAATTTAATTCTGATAGAAATAGAGGCGGAGCATAAGTCAAGTAGTTAAGTGGAACTATGTACATAATTTTTAATGTCAACTTAACAACATTTCATACATATCTGACAACACCGCTTCTACTCGCTGTCAATATCGGTATTAACAGCCCTATTCTTATGAACGAACGGATAAAAAGATATTGTATGTTGAGACTAGAGGACCCGTCCACGTTTTACTGTGGCTGATAAATAGATAGTACAACTAATATCATCTATATGATCTCTATTATTTAGATTATAACTATTAGTTAAAGAGATATAGCATTTCTGGTGAAGCAACTTATGTTAGTTTACAAAAAAATTAATCAAAAAGCATTTCATGCGTTAAGAAAGCATTGGTTTTTGAAGGAAAATAGTCGAATTTCGGCTGTGCACCAGTGAAATCAATCGAGTCGAGTCGACAGTCAGCTAGTGGACTGCATATAATGAAACGGCTCTCGTGGCAAGTCAAAAAATTAGCTGGCAAGGTTATTTCATCAGTCTTTTGGGATGCCTGTGGTATGTATACTATTCATCGAATGATTACTGAGCCAGTTCTAATTAATTGCACTGTGCATTTGGTTGCGGTTCTATTTCACTATTACCAATATTTAACATTTTTATTATTTTTTAGGAAAGATCAGTTTGAAATATATGGGTATACTTCATCGTTACCGTTTAAATATTGCTCTGCTTCGAAAAGATTGCTGTATATCTCAAATTATAATAGATATTTTTATCAACACTTCAGTTATGCCGCTATATTTTTATTCTAGATATCGCGTTTGGTTTGTAATGAATGCATCTGCGTCCTTCGCCCATAATCTAACAAAGACTTGACGACGCTTGTTATGCATTCTTGTTCTCTCCAATAGTTAGCAGGAATGAAAAAAATGTAATGGCTACCCATACATGTACTGAATCACCCAATTTATTACTTAAGAACGAACAACCCTGTCCACAATATGAAAACTTGCTATTGGTCTACAGATGTCGCCTTTTAAGTTTTGAATATTGGATACTGCGATATTAGCGCAGTCTATCGGATCTAATCTAAAATATTCCAAAATTTCCAACTAATTACAAATGAAAGATTAGTTTCAAAAAACATTTTCCAGTGGATCAGATTGTGAATCTAAACCATTCTCGAATCTCCTTGAAGAGACAGAAAAAGTTTCATCAAAATCGGACCAGTCGATTAGCGGCAGTTCAATTAAAAACACACGGTCAAAAGATTTATATACATATATAAAGATAATACTCTGTAATGTTGCGGGTGCTCCTAGGATTTTCTTTCACATTTTGAAATTCTAAAAAAAAAAATAATAGATTTGCAGAATTACTCACTTTTCTTGCTTGTCCATTTCTTTATTTTTGTAAAATAGTTGGTTCACAGCAAAGTTCCTTTCACCACATGGGGTGCTTTCTTCTTGTGAGGTTTGAGCAAGAATAACTTCACAAAATAAAACGCACAAATTAGTTGTGAGGTTTTCTTAGAATAGGGCTGTTAATGAATGTATTTTGTAATGGCAACGAAGACAAATTTTAGTCACAGAAAAATTATTTCAAAGTATTTCATAGGTTTTAAAAATAATGTTATACTAAATAAACATGCATGTTTTGCTTTAATACTATTTTTCTTTCTGTATATCAATCTTCTTATAAATTTTATAATTACAGTGGTACCTCGACATACGAGTGCCCCAACATACGAGTTTTCGAGATACGAGCCGACGAATAAGTGCTTTTTTGCTTTTAGTTACGAGCGAAATTCGAGATACGAGTCCGGTTCGGTTCGGTAGTAACACGTAGTCGCGCCATCATGATCAGTTAGCAGCGTGCTTCCGCTGTGATAAGTTGTGCAGTTGTGTTCGAGCGGGGCTGGTTTGGGAATTTTAAAAAGAGGAGCGGTATTCACTCCGCTGTCAGACATGGTGAGGCAGCAAGTTCAGATATGAAGGCAGCTGAGGTTTACATTAAAACATTTTCCGATCTAATAAAAGCCCAAGGATACATCTCTCAGCAAGTCTTCAACTGTGATGAGACAGGGCTGTTTTGGAAAAAGATGCCGAATAGAACATATATAACGGCAGAGGAGAAGATTATGCCAGGCCACAAACCTATGAAGGACAGATTGACTCTAGCACTGTGTGTTAATGCGAGTGGCGCCTGCAAGAGCAAGCCTCTGCTCGTGTACCATTCGGAAAACCCCAGAGAATTTAAATCGCATAAGATTTTGAAAGAAAAACTGGTCGAACCCGAAGGCATGGGTCACCAGGAAGTTCTTTGTGGGGTAGGTAAACCTGGTTTCGGCCCTAATGTTAAGAAATATATACTGGAAAATAACCTACTCGTGCAAGCCCTTCTCATCCCCGGCAATGCCGCTGCTCATCCACCAAACCTCGAAGATGACATCCTCGAGGAGTTAACATTCATAAAGGTTCTCTACTTACCACCCAACACCACTCCTATCCTGCAGCCCATGGATCAGCAAGTGATTTTTAATTTTAAAAAACTATACGCCGAGCATCTGTTTCTGTGCTGCTTTGAAGTGACGGAGAACACAAACCTCACCCTTCGAGAGTTCTGGAAACAGGCCTGGTTGGGAGTTACAACGAGGACCTTGACCTCTGCGTGGAAAAATCTGTGGCCTGAAGCTGTAGCTGAAAGGATCTATGAAGAATTGGAACCCAGCGTTTCAGTAGAGGAGGCGATTGTATCTCTGGGTAAATCCATGGGTCTAGAGGTGGAAGAGAGAGAGACGTGAACGAGCTCATCGAGGACACTCAGGTACTGACGACTTATACAAGAGTTACAGTCACAGCAGCATACTGAGGTTATGCAATAAATTGGTTTTGAGGAGTCAGAGGAGGCGGTTATTTCTACAAGTGAGATAAAGGAGATCTTACTAATCTAGGAGAGAGTTTCACAGTTCGTGGAAAAAACATCCAGAAAAAGTTACAACAGGTCGTGCATCTGACCTTTTTAATGACACTTACCTAACTTATTTCCGGAACATTCTGAGAGGGAGGAAGAAAAAAACCTCCTTGGACATGTTTTTTTCTAAACGGCCTACGGAGGATATCTAACTTATTTCTTTACATTCTCTTTATTGTTTTTGTGTAATAAATATTTGATATTTATAAATACGTTTTTATAAATTAAAACCACGTAACAAAAATAACTGGGGTGACATTTTGGAGGTTGGAACGGATTAATGGTGGTAGTAGTAATGGTTGTTTTGTATGGGGAAATTTGCTTCGAGATATGAGTAATTCAAGATACGAGCAAGGTTGCGGAACGAATTAAACTCGTATGTCGAGGTACCAATATCAAATTTGAGCAAAATGACGCTTGAAAAAAAAATATTCAATTATTTCTTCTGCGATGTTTTCTGTTTAGATGAATGAAATAGTTCCATTTAGCTTTGATCAATTAGCTCTGCTGTATTTCCATTCCATGGACTTACTTTCGTGTAATAGTGAAACATCTAAATCCTATTAATTTAATTATAATCTCAATTATAGACAACAAAAAGCCAAGCCGAATTCATTAATATTATTCGATTTCATTGTTCAATTGTATATAGTTGTCATTGACGACGATGCCCCCATTGTAGCCATCTTTCTACGTTGTGATATCGTTTTTGTATTGCATAATAACGTTTATATACTCTTACAACCAGTTGATACAGAATATTATACAGGGGTGTTATGGAATCCAAGACAGAATTGCTTAGCTGTCAGAATTGCAAACCAATTCTGATTTTGAATGTTGTCGAATAATCTGTTTGGATTTTCGTCTTTTCGAACATACGCAAAATCAATATTCGAATCAGCTGTTTACTAATGTTACAAAACTTGCAAGTAAATATGTATATTTGAAAGCAATCCTATTAAAGTTTTTAATGAGTTCCGAATAAAAGAAAGATTTTAAGAGTTAATAATGTTACAAAACTTGCAAGTAAATATGTATATTTGAAAGCAATCCTATTAAAGTTTTTAATGAGTTCCGAATTAAAGAAAGATTTTAAGAGAAAATATTTATCGAATGAATAACGCGCATTTGGGTGCTAAAATACGTTTTGTAAATCTAATAACTTAAAAATATATCCGGATTTCGTTTTCCCAAAAACTTAATAATTAACCCTCTGTCGGTTAAGAGTGCCCTCAGGCATGCATCACGAAATTCAAAATAAATAATAAATAAATAAAAAATTGCATATAGCTTAAAAACAAGCTTGTTGGCAACACTTCAATTGTGAGTGTTGTTTATTTTTGACAGGTTGTCAAGCTGCGTTTAAATTTACTGTTACGTTTCGTATGAGTTTTACTGGCGTGCAAAGCTAAAATTAATTAAAAAAAAAACAACAATTAAAAACAAAAATGATATCGGATTCTGTTCAGAGTTTTATTGTTGCAAAGGTAAGTAGTTCTTTTTACCTTTTACATACAAGTGAAATTGAAAAATGAAATGCAGTGTCGGGTGAGAAAACAAAATGGAAGAGTGCCTCAGGGCACTTATAACAGTTTATATGAAAATTTATGTTTTCTTTTTATTGTTTTTGTCGAGGGTTGTGTTTAGTATCGCGCCGGTTAATTTTGGCTCGCCGTACCTAAACGAGAGAACCAAATGGAAAATTTTAAACACGCATGTATGCTTAAATTATCGAACTTTGTTTTAAAACATATTTTATAAAAATCGGTTCACAAATTTTTCCACAAATTCACTTTAAAAAATGCTATTTTTTGCAAAATTCTAAATATATGCTAGTGTATTTTCATCTGTTTTGAATGGAACCAAACCAATTATGGATACATTTTCAAGCACATATATTACTTATGAATTACAAAAACCACTAGTAATGTCTTTAATTACTTTTGATTGTTAATTTCTTTGTAAATCTTTAAATAAAATACACCTTTTTCTGCATTGAGTTCAATAATGCGGAAAACCAAAATGACTGCCTAATTTGAACTGTCAAATTACCGAGAAAGCACGAACAAAAGGGAATAAATTAAACCCACTTAGCAATAAATGTATGAAGTGAACGCGAAAAGGTGTACAATACTAAAATACTGTAGATTGCGTAGCCGGTGTTGGATCGGCCAGGGTTATTTTTTTAAAGCGCGGCCGAAGGCCGC